ATTGGGATTGAGATGAGGATGTGGATTAGATGGCCCAGCTATACATATTAATATATTATTAGTGCTGCTGTCTGGTGATGAACGTCCGTGTATGGCTCTCTTAGTCTCTTTTGGATGCGTTGCTGTTCGTGTGAGCGTGTGGATCCACTCGACTTCCTTGTTTTGTCCTGCTTTGCTGATTTTGTTGTCACTCGGTCGGTTCGGTTTAAACTGAATAACCAATGTGAAAAACCGAAACCAAATTCACTAGTTTCCAGTTTTGAAATAAACCGACAGTTATTGATTGTTGGAAACCGAAGTTTTACCAAACCAAAGAAACCGAACTGAATTTGTAGTTTAAACCGATTGCCCAGTCTAACTCATGCCTAACTGTATCACTGATTTTACTTGTTCCCTTGAAATGCAGCGGCTTTGGAGTTGCGGCAGCCGGCAGTCAAATGTTGATGAAACTGTCAGCCCTCTGTTGTTGGACAAAGATCAGGAGCAGGACCATGAACAGGCTGCGGAAGAGGAGCTGTCTTTATCTTTACCAGGCCAGGCCAACAACGTTTTTTTTTCACGAACACGTTCGTGTATTTCATTAAGATAAGAAGAAGGGTTGGTCCGGACACCGGTACAAAGAGTACTCACCACCGGTCATGCCCGGCGGCTTAGAGTGCGAGACGCATGCCAGGCCGCAAGCCTTGGCCAGACTCGTGCATGATTACAAACGGTGCGACAACAACAGCGCAGCTTGGTCAACCTGAGGGGCAGTGGGCCAGTGGCCCGTGTATTCAGGAAGAAGGCTGGACAACGGCAAGTGGATGAGAACTGGCTGAACTCCTTGCTGAACTTGGTTTCAGTCGTGAGCTCAAAATCATGGTTCTCGTATGTGTGCTGAGCTCTGTGCGCAGCTTCGTCATCTAAATCTCTTACATATTTTGCTCAAAAAAAATTCTAAATCTCTTACATACACTTTCAGCAAATGAAAGCAACGTGATGTTGCGAGAGGTCACGTACACAGCGCACACAGATGCTAGGCAGTACTGTACGTTGGAATGTTGGATTGAGTGTCATTTGCAAACTGATAGCAATTCACACGTGTAAACTATGTGAACTAACAACCATTCTAAACTGCATCATTTGCATGTCTCACCCTTTTTAGTTTTTGTTTACCCTGCAATATGCAGCTTCTGCCCCCACCTTCTTCGGAACTGTGGCCCCACATGCAGTGACTGCAGGGTTGGCAGCCTGGCTCGTATCGCGGCCTTGACTGACCTCACCTGCCAGCGGACAGGTGGCATGTTCAGCAACCGCCGCAACGAACTTGAGCCACGCCCACGGAGGTACATCCAATCCGAAGGAGGAGGACGGGATGGGCGACACGCCGAACGCGGTGTGCCACTGCCAGGGCGCCTACGAGGCTACGACAGCCCAGAGAAGGACGACGTCCTGTGGGAGGTCCTCGGCGCGGAGGACGGGTCCGACTCCGACGACGTCGTCCTGCGCCAGCCTACGTACGGGCCGTGGCGCGACTTCGACGGCCCTAGCTCGATGATGCGCTGGATGATCGAGGCCGTCTCCCCGAGACAGTACCCGCCCGAACTCGCAGACGTGATTCCGGTGAGCTCGCGTTGATCTGGTCGTAGTAAGAGCCAGCTATCAGAGTGCATTCAGAAGTTCAGATTTGTTCGTTATTCAGATACCTGAGTGCTTGTCTTGGCCCTCCTGATGAGTACTAGTGCGCTGCCCCATTGCTAGTTTGCTACAGACTCCAGCAGTGGCCATCGGTGGTCGGAGCCGCGGGCGCGCCGTGCCTGAACCGATGCTTTAGCGGAGAATCCGGGTCCTGCGGGCGGACGACGAGGGCAACTTCAACCCGCTCGCTCACCTGAGGAGAGATTGAGCGGCCGAGCTGGATGAAGCGAATGCCTCTGTTTGTCGACCAAACTGCCAACGAGGAGACCATGGAGCATGGACGTTGTCGTCGTCACCACCGGGTCACCAGGTGACGACTCTGCTGTTTCTTCAGCAGTCTGTGCAGCAGTTCGTATCTTTCTCTCTTCTCATGAAAAGTGATTGTTAAGTTGATCTACGAGCTTGAATAGTGTGTGGTGTTAACTCACATGCTCGGACTTTGCTATTGAAGAATCAGTAAACTTTTTGCTGCATGTCAGATGTTCAAAAAAATCATAGTATTATACTGATGACAGTACGTAGATAGAGGCTTTGTTCGCTTGAGCTTATCCGTTAGAATTGGCCCTACTTTTCAGCCATGGAATATGTTTTTCTCTCACAACAAATCAGTCCTACAAATCTGCCGCAGCCACAGTCCTACCAAACAGCCCAAGAAATTGTAACTTGCCTACTACATGCTTTAGCTCAGATGTACTTTTTTGTGGTTTTGAATATACCTGGTTGGCTAGTTGCTGCATCTGGTATCCTCTTCTTGGTTTGTTTGCATTGGGTCCTTATTTAGTTTCAAATATTTATATTTCTTTTGGGGTTCTACATGTGCTTCAGAAAATGATATGCTTTGTTTGCTTATGAGTTTGGACTAATCTGAAACAAGCTTTAGATGAGGAGGTAGATTGATTGAATGAATTTAATGATTTTGCTGTATTTAACTTTTCTGTTGAATATCAGTGTTTTTGTATAGGCTAAAAATATTCAGAATGTAGAAACAAATGGATCCGTTGTTACATTGTCAATTCACAAAATTCCATATTGTTCAGTGTCCAGGAATTTCAGTTTTCTCTGTCTTGTTCTGAACTGATGTTTTCCCCCCATTTTTACTTGCTGCCTTGTGAGTTCAGCTGCTGCGGCTTTAGTGTACCCAAATGTTATTGCGCCGTAGAGGAACACCGGAGCAAGACTTTTGACAACAAGGTTCAGAATCAAAAGTTCGCTGCTTAGGAATTAGGATACGATGAGATGAGAACTGGCAGTTCTTTTTTGTTCTAATTAATAGGTTTAGAAAACTCAGCAAGCCCTTTCTATGCTTGGTACTAGTAGGGTTGCCATGAAGTTTCAGAACTTGAAAATTGCTGAAAGCATTATGTGGAGATAAATGCTCGGACAATTTTTGCAGAGTAACAACCGTTGTAGTCACTGTCTTCATGGAATCGTTACGGTCCAAATTTTCTGAATTTAGCTTATATTCATGAACTGAAATCACTGGTGTATCATTTGTATGGTGAACAAATATTATGGGCAAAATTAATTCGAACTACAAAAAAGTGAAACAGAAAAACAACGGCTCCGTCGGCGTGCGGGATCAGCGGCGGTACGCCCGGTGACCGGGATTTGTGATCTGTCACGCCATGATCGCCACCTTTCTCTGCTATCCGTTGTTGCACTGCTCTTCAGAGTACGTAGCCGTTGACCGTTGTGCTTGTGCCACTCTTGCGGCTCCTCTTGTCCTCCACGGCTCCACCAAGAAGCCAAAACTGAACTCCATTTGTATTAGCATGCAAACAGGACAGGACAAAGGGAATAAGGAATGAACACGGAGAACCAAAACGGAACTCCATTTGTATTAGCAGATCGACTTGCGACACATTGCAGGTTCTCACAGCCCAGCAGACAGAGGCAATCCATTCGAAAACAAACAAACAAAAAACAGAAAGAGGTAACCACAGGACTGGCATTCCAGTACTGGAACTGCACACACATCTCCGTAACAACTAACGGTCCCGGTATGATTGTTCCTTGGCTTTCATCAACTCAGATGAGAATGGATGAGATGTCCATGACACAAAGCTGCAGGCTCTGCTCTATGTATCTGAAACGCAAGATCGAAAGAAGCTTCCACATGTTGACACGAGGAGTCGGGCTCTGGGCTCTCTGTCTCACCTATGGAGAAAGGGGGAACTGTATCTCCGGCTCATCATCAGCTTGGCCACCCGAGTTAACATATGATTCATCAGATGTTGGTGGTGCCATCTGCCATGCCCTCCAGTTCTCGACCGACGCGTCCGTGTCCCTCGCCCACTCCAACCGGGCCTGGTTTAGCCAAGAGTTAACAGACTGGGTCACCTGGCACTTCTTTTCCTCAGCGTAAGACTGTGTCGACCAAACATTATCTGCGTGCATGGAAAAAAGCAGCAATACATAAGGGTCAGCAAGCAATCATCATTCCAAATCCAAATGCTAGTGGAAGTCATAGTCATGATTTCTGAATTAAATCTTAGCAAGACGAATATATAATGGCTGATGCCAAACAGAAGAGTAGTGTTCTGTTCATGCCAGATTCAGACTAAATCAGCAATTCTATTCTAAATGAGTATTCCAAACCCAAATGCTAAAAGAGCATGCAAAAGAGCAGCAATTAAGGGTCAAGCAAGAAATAAAAAATCAGCAATCCAAATCCAAATACTCGCGGAAGTTATAGTCATCATTCATGAATCAAATCTTTTTCGCAAGAAGAATATATTAAGAACCGATGCCAAACAGAAGCAGTGTTCTGTACATGCCAAATTCAAACTAATTTAGTGACTCTATTCTATCATCTATACACGCTGTGCAGTTGTAATCCTAGTGTACATAAGTAGTACATCTACGAATGTAACGAACATATTTCTCAATGATAAGACAAAGGCAATGAATCGGAGAAGCGCACACATGTCACGAGGATCCCTTGTAATCTGATCAGAGTGTAAGACAGTAAGCATGCAAACTGAAACTGGAAATGCGATCATATCCATCAATCCAGCATAAACTAGTTCAGATACTACTGTTACTAGCATGCGCATAGGCTAATATGAATGTCGGAAACGACCTAGCCAGTCTAGGTATGAACACGCTCAATTTACAGTTGAATGCCGAGCATGCAGACACACAGAGAGCATCAAATCGAGATTTCTAGCAGCCATATGCATGGTGCAAACGATCGATTCAGTAAGCGAAGGCGAGGCAAGCGGATGCATCAGAACTGAGCAACTAATGGGGATGTACGCGCGCATACCACCTGGTGAAGAGTTGTCGTCGCCCGGAAGCGTGGGTGGAGGTGGCGGCGGCTCCTAGGCATCGACGATGGGGCGGGAGGATGGGAACCTGAGTTGATCACGGTCTATCAGGCATTCCTTGCAGGCGACGACCGTCTTCTCGCGCATGTCCAAGCCGAAGAGCTTCGAGCCCTGGAAGAAGTAGACGACGTAGTGGTCGTTGGGGTCGACGAGGGCGACGTGGGGCACCACGTCCGGCAGCAGGCCCGCGTCGGTGTAGGTTTTGTTCTCCCAGATTTCGGCGAAGGCCACCTCGTACTCGAACGTCCATGCGTTGGGGCCCTCCGGGTCGTCGAGCGTCCACATCCGGACGGTGGGGTTAGCCGCGGGTAGGTCGACGAGGTCGTCATAGGAGAGGCCGCGGATCTCGACGAAGCGCAGCTTGCCCGCTGGGCCTGACGCAGCGGCGCTGGTCGATGAGGGTCCTGATGCGGGGGTCGAAGCCGACGTCCCCCTCCATCTCGCAGTCGTCCGGGAGCGGGATGAAGCGCAGCTGGGGGGACTCGAATTGGGGCGTGCAGGGGTCGCAGAAGAACACGCTATAGGCGAGGGCGAGCCACCAGAGGCGGCCGTCGTGGGCGATCACGCCGGTCTCGGGGAAGGGGTTGCGCATGCGGCCCTGTTGCAGGTTGAGCCCCCTGATGAACCACCGTCCTTGGGCGGTGGAGTAGCAGAGGAGTCTGTTGGGGTGGTCGTCGGAGGTGGTGGGGTGGAGCTGGACGACTACGTAGTGGCCGCGGTGGTGTGGGTCGGCGATGAGGCCAATGCTGAGACGGGGGCGGATGTCGTGGCCCCTGGCCTGGATATAGGAAGACACCGGGGGGAGGATGGTGACGGTACTTCTGTGGGTGTTGCAGAGGAAGAAGTCCGGGTGGTTGCCTTCGACGACCTGGAGGAGGATGCAGGCGGAGAGGTCGGCGGCGAGGATGTAGGCGGACAACGGCTGGCTCGTCGCTGCGCTGGGGTCCGGGGCGACGCGAGGGTGCAGCACCATGTAGGAGGGCAGCGGGCGGTCGTTGAGGTCGAGCAAAGACGTCGGTTCCGCCGACGATCTTCTGGGCCCGCTCGTCCTCGTTGCCGAGGAGGACGGCAGCAGAGACGAGGGCCACCCACTTGCGCTGCGGCTCCGACTCGGGCTGCTTCTCCGCTTCCTGGCCGGCACGCGACGACTCCGCCACATCTGGCGCCGACGACGACATGGCTGGCGGCGAGGCGCTGCTCTGGTTGGGGTGGGCTTGGGGTGGTAGGGGGGCGAGTCGGTTGCGTTGGTTTGATTTGAATTCGTGATCGGCGTGGCTGATGGCTGCAAGAGGAAGGGGATGGGGATTTTATAGGCGGGCGTGGCTGCGCTGCGCATCCATGGCAGCAGGCGACGGGCCCACGGGGGCGTTCTCCATTCCTCCTGGATGCTTGCACAGCACGGAACAGGGTGGGGTCCACGTGAGGTCACCCGAGGAAGGAAGACGAGCAACTGGATGCACGCGGTAGCGACTAGCGAGGGCCATGGCCGTTGATCGTATCACACTATCACACGAGTGTACCGGCGCTGCTGCTTGTATGCAGCATGCATGCCTCTCATGAGCCGTGCTGTATACATGAGTCCATGAACATTAGCTTTTTTCTTTGAAAGTTTTCTACTAGAGTAGGGGTGTCTTATTTTGCTCTCTACACCTAATTTCATGGCTTCTCCTTCTCCGATGTCCTCCTAGGCTTTGGGGTTTAGGGATTAGGGATTCATGGTTTTGGATATAAGTTGTCTCAAAAGAGAATCTTAAAGAGTAGAAGGTCAGTCCGTCTGCGGTGGTGGGCACGAGTAAGGGTGGAGGCGGCGTTACATCGTCGAAATTGGTCGGGTATATGGTGGCAGCGAGGTGAGGCGGCTCGTTGGTATCACCGGCTAGGAGGCGGTGGAGACTGGTTGGACGTAGGGTAAGGGTGTGAGCCGAGCACTAGTGACGGCCTGATGGGTTAGTAGTTCTAGTAGAAGAGTGGTGGTGGAGGCAGCTTGTGTTGGCAAAGTCGACCGGGGATTCGGCAGCAGCGAGGCGAGATGATGCACTATGTAAAAAAGTCACATATCCACCAGCGCACCTACAGACGCCAGCACAAATGCACGTCTGTAATATAAATTTACAGACGCATCTTCCCAACGCACGTCTATAGTAAATCGCCAGCGAGGGTCGCTGGTCTGGCGAGGTTGAGACACGTCTGTAGTTGCACGTCTGTAACATGAATCGCTTACCTACGGACGCGGCCAGCCAATGCGCGTACTGGTGCAATCCCACGGACCCGAAATTTTTATACATTCCAGCAGAGCACCGGACACTTCGCGTCCGCTCCCGTCCGCCCCAAGCCACCGAGCCCCGAGTCTCCGTCCGCCTCCTCTCCCTTCCCTTCCGCAACTCCTCCCCTCCAAAGATGGCGGCGCCTCCCTCCGCCAGACTGGTAGACGGCGCCTCCCTCCTGAACTCATCTCCCACCCCGTCCGCAACTCCTCCCCTGGAAGACGGCGCCGGCTCCCCGTGCAAGACTGGATGGCGCCGCCTCCGTCCTCCAGATCCGGCCGGTGGCGCCTCCCTCCTCCAGATCCGGCCGTCGGTGCCTCCCTCCTCCACACGGAAGGACACCATGTTGGCCTCGGTGTGGTTGCCGCCAGCGGGCGAGGAGAGGCAGGAGGCGGTGCCCGTCCATCAGGTACCGCCGCCGCCCTACGCCGAGCTTCCCATGTCTTCTTCGGGCCCGTTGCCGGTGACGGGAACCCACCACACCAGGTATGCCCGCTCCTTCTCTTACCTTCCTGCTGTGCCAAATTGAGCACCGGAACCCTAGCTTGAGCTATTTAGCTATTTGTATTCGGATCTGATGTAATCACAAGTGTGTACATGTATTATGCCTACTAACTTTGATATTTGTTTTATCACCCATGTCAATTGGGTCTACGGTTTAGTGATCTCTCGTTAGCTTTGTATCTTGCTACATGTATCTACAATGGAAACTGATGATCCAATTATCCTTTCCAATGGCTTTGCCCTCTGCTAGATTATCCTTTCCTCATCAAATGGAGCTGCTCCGAAGGTATAGATGCAACACCTTCTGAAATCTGAATCGACGATGGTGCAGCCAGGTAGGTCATTCTGTGCCCTCCAGGTTCAAAAATTTTCATCTATGTGTTGTAGTTATCTTCCGTGAGTGCAAAGAAGAGAATGTATATACTGAGAGATGCTAAGCTGCAGCAGGTCATGTCTCTGTGGTATATCTCTTTGTTTCTACTGTCTCAGTATTAGTGTAGTGCATAGCCTTCTGTTTTTATATAGTCCACTTATATATGAACTGAATAATTTGTAGTCATAGGTAAGTCGAAATGAGCATATTTAAGTTCTCACTTTCTTGTAGTTCACTTCAGCAGTTAGTTATTTTGAGAAGTGTCTTTCTTGGGATTTTGGCCTATATTCAGGACTACCTGACATGTTAGTGTCTTTCTAAGTCTCTATGTTACTTTATTCTTCTCTGTGGTTTCATACTTTGATTACCATCCAACACAGATTTTGTTAGCATGTAATTTGACTGGAAGGAGGATCTTGGACTGGTTCGATCTATTTTTGGTGGATGTGTATACAGGGAGGAATTCTGCAAGGAGTTCAAGGAGAAGAGCCCTAAGAACGAGTCTGTTGCTGTGGTAAGTTCTCCCAACATGGAGTAATCTGTTATTATGCCTGGTGTTCTTCAACTAGATACTTGAGTAATTTTACTTTAGTAATTTGATTCCTGGAAGTATATGAAAAATTTTAGGTTGGCCATCTAGTTGGGCATCATATTTACTACTGCACCATCATAGCTTAAATACAGTGATAACTCTTCTTTTAACAAGCAGGCGACTTGCCCTTTAATTCTCTCCCTTTTTTGCAGGTTTAGTTAGCTGTGTTACTATTGATGGGTTGACAATCAAAGCGAACTATTTCTGCCAAGAGGGTTACTATTGACTCTAGTTGGAAATAGATTTCTAAGGTAAGATATCAAGTATGTACATGGAATCTGACAATTATCGTGCTGTACCTGATCAGTAACTAATGGAAGTATCACTAGAGATTTTACCAGTGACATTTAATTTGGACTTGAAATATCAAAAGTGTGTTCTAAACTCCACTCCTTAGGCTTCCTTTCTTGTTTTACCAGTGACATTTAATTTGCTCATGTTTAGACCTGGGTCTGGATCATGTACTGGTAACTGGTTCATAGTGTTTGTAGCTGTCAAGTTATTTCCTATAACTAAAAATGAAGGGCAACCAAATTTTTAGAAAGCAAGCTGGTTCAGGGTACCCTAGTTTTGCTAAGTTGCTCTGAGTTGTGAACAAGCTGGTTCAATAATATGATATATTCTGTTGCTCCTAAAAAGTAGTGCCAGTACAAGCCTTGAGGTTAATAGTGCATATGTTGCTATTGTGATAAAATTTCAGGTGCCCCAAGGAGTTGTTCTTCAGACTTGCACTCTCACGTCAGGCTTGCTGCTTGCTGGAGGGCTTCTGTTTAGCCAGGTAAACACTCCAGAATTCTCTGGAAATACTTCAGTTCTTGAGATGGTTTTGATATGTTTGATAAAAATCCATGAATAACTTGAGTTAGCTGCTGTAAATGTGACACTAACTGTAGAACTGGCCACAAGCAGTTATGTGTCTTCCTTTTGTTGAGAACAGAACTTGGACTTAGTGTTTGGATCAGTGTCATAGTATTATGTGACACTAACTGTAGAACTGAGCTTGCTGTTAGACTCGTAGTGTTTGGATCAGTGTCATAGTATTATGTGAAACACTCTTAAGTACATTGCAATTTCCTTATGTTATTGGTCTTAGTCATGTTATATCTGTTCTAAGCCACTTTACTGGTCCAATAATATGATATATTCCTTGGTACTTTATGTTATGTGCTTGCTAGTATTATAGCACACATGAGCTGATATGCCTTTTTTCATCAGGGTGCCGAAAACCAGATTGCAAGCAAAGGGTTTGCTGCTCTCGATGATCTATCTAGATCACAGTAGTGTGAATGTGTAGCAAGCAAAACTTAAATTAGTTGCTCTATCCATGTACATTAAGCCTATCAGTATAAAAAAATCAGTGTTATCTGCCTAATATTGGATGTATATATAAGAACTTGGCATTGGATTTTTTTTTTCAAATCATTATCACAGACGCGTGTTGGTTATGCACGTCTGTGATGAGGGGTTGTCACAGACGCGTTTTGACTATACACGTCTGTGATAGGGTTTCTCAGACGCGTGTTTACTCTCTCCAGTCTGTGTTAAACGTAATCACAGACGCGGGTTTGAATATCACAGTCGCGTGTTGGTACACGCATCTGTAGTACGAGCTTATTACAGACGTGTTTTTCGTGTGTCTGTAATAAGACCTTATTACAGACGTGTTATGACAGACGTGCCGAAACTCGTCTGTAATGTCTCTAAAGGCGCGTCTATGATGACATTTTTTTACATAGTGATGCGTTGGTGTCATCGGCTAGAAGGTGGATTAGACCATTAGGACGAGGTAAAGATGGGGGAGAGCACCAGCAACAAGTTAGTTCTGGTGGTGGCAAAAGACGATGGAGGCAGCGTTACGTTGTTAGTCAAAATCACTAAACTTTGAAGTGTATTGTATTTCCAACCATGCATTAGTTTAAAAAATTGTTTCATGATTATGTATACCTAAATTTAAAGTTTAATCATTTTTTCTCCAACAATGTGTTGGTTTATAGAACCGTTTGGATCATGTCCTTTGTCTTGCCATGTATATCAAAAAATTAAATCTAATTGATTGTTTAATTTAAATTTTAAGCGTCTCTCTAACCATGCGGTGGTCCATAAAATCATTTTGAATCATCTTTTTATTTAAACTCAAAGTTTCTAGTGTATTTTTCTCTAGCCTTGTGTCTTTGATTTATGTATTAAACCATGTGAATAAGGATGTTTGTTAAATGTTACTGACGGTGCCATACTCCTAGGATTCCTGACTACCGGATATGCTGGCTACCGAATCTGTACCGAAGAAGACCAAAAGGTTCACGACTTGCCTATTCAAGGAAGGATATCTGAAGATCACGTCAAGACTCCGACTAGAGCACGGCTATGTAATTTGTAGGCCAAGTAGGCCTCGGATATAAATAGCTAACCATCCGCTCTGTTGTAGTCATCGAAACTCTCATAGGCATAGCCATCTTGTAATCGCCATCTCACTATTCGACGAGATCATAATACAAATAAGTAGCAACTGGACATATGGCTTTTACTCACTTCCCAGGGGCCCAAACCAGTATAAATCCCGCGTTTCTACTGTGTTTGCTCTTTGCATCAGACGAATTCCTCCAAGAACCGAATATCTGCCGGTAAAAAACACCGATAGAGCCGCACCAGGTAGGGGATTTCGTGCAAACAGTGATCATGTCGATCATCAATGGAGTTTGGTATGCCGCACCGATGCATTCCGACGTCGAGGTATTGCATACTTTGGCAAAATCTGAGATATTGGGCAACTACTACTCAGGACCTCATATCTATTCACCATCCCGCAACATGCCACCAACTATCCACTTCGGAAGCTTGGTATTCGAGCATGACGGTGATTTCAATCTCAAGTGGACGGGGATCGATGATCCCAATCTGACTCGCGCCGGCTAGGATGTTTTCGCCTCCTGGGGATACCCGACCGAGGAGGAGAAGAATGACAAAACTGCTTAGCTTGATCTAGACTTCAAGGACTCTGACAATGAGTTAGATCCCTTCGAAAGTCATCGGCTGTATATGGCTAGTCATGCTCAAACCCCCACCGATGAGGCTGGCTCATCAGTTTCCCAACCACCTCCGCGCTTGAGTAGCGCATCGACACTCAACACAGCCGTGCCTTGGGCGCCAACTCAATCAACCCTGGCTCCAAGGAATCTAAGTTCTGACTTCTGGGTAGCCCAGGAAGATAACATCCAGATCAGAACGCTCCTAGGCACTATGGGAGCCCTAGAAGATGAAGGCACACCCCTGGCAAAATCATTGAGCAGGCTCAAAATCTGGCTGACCAGATGAAGTAGCGCATGGATGCTAGGGCAAACAAATCGCGACCTCAATCAAGAGGTCAAAACCCTCCTCCCGAGAGATCCAATCGATCGGTAGGAAATCGTTATCAACCATGACGAGGCCAAGATCTATGGCCCAAACTTGATAGGCATCGCCGGAATCGTGATGCTCGGGAGACCATCAATATCAACATGGCCCAGCATAGGAACTACTAGGTCAGCCCCTATTTAGCATTTGCACACAGGCTGCGTCAGGTGATATGGCCCGACAAGTTCCATCCTAGACCCATTGAGAAGTACGATGGGAATACCAACCCTAAGGAGTGGATCCAAATTTATGAAATGGTGATCCAGGCAACATAAGGAGATGACTATGTAAAAGCCAACTTCCTACCGACTATCCTTCAGGGGTCTGCCCGAATGTGGCTGTTGAACTTGCCCGAGTGCACGGTCCAGTCTTGGAACCATCTGCGCCAGTTGTTCGAAGCCAACTTTCATGCGACTTATAACTATCCCGATCATGAGGATGATTTGTTTCCATGTGTACAGAAATTCGATGAGCATCTTCGAGACTTTATTCATCGGTTCAGTAAGATCCAAAACACGATCCCCGACATGACCGAGGATCGGGTGATTATAGCCTTCAAGCAAGGGTGTAAAGATGAACGAACCGTGGAGAAGTTAGCCACCAAAAACCCGAAGACGGTCGCTGAGCTCTATAAGATTCTTGATGCAATGGCAAAGGCAGACGATGTCCGAGCCCAAATGCACAGACAGCCCGATGCTAAAGATAAGAAGAAGAACAAGGAAAAGAAGCACAAGACCGAAGCTGAGGTCCTTGTCATAGGAAAAGGAAAGGCTCCGCTGTGATGACAAGGTAAACCTAAGTACCTTCCCGTCTATTACCATGTTCACCGTTCTACCAAGTATAACTTTGTAGATTGTCTAGTCTAGCAGAAGCAGAAGCAGGAGGAAGAGCAGGCACGTAAGCCCGAAGGCCCAGTCCAGTAGGAGTCACCTAGGCGACAAGCCAACCCCCAAAACGATGACAATCTGATCGCCCTGGGGGAGAATGAGATTGCTATAATCTATGGCGGCACGGCCACACCAGCCTCCAAGACCAAGTTGAAGCAGGTCGAGCGGCAGGTGAACAGTACCCAACCATCGGACAAAAGGCTTAAATAGTTAGAGGTACCAATCCAATTTGACATTCGGGATCATCCCCTAAATCTATACGACGGTTCATTGCTCCTGCTGATCATAAAACCCTGCATCAGGAATTACAAGGTCGGTCGAACCTTAATTGATAGCGGCAGTGGCCTCAATCTCCTTTTCACCAATACATATGACAACCTAGGATTACCTAGGAAGCGCCTCCTCCCAGTCAAAGAGCCTTTCTATGGAATAATGCCAGGCATGTCAGCGTACCCCCTCGGGAGAATCGACCTACAAGTTACCCTCAGAGAAGGCGAGAACACGAGGTCCGAATTCCTAACATTCGAGATTGCAGACTTTGAGTCAGCATATAACTGCATCATGGGTAGACTGTTCTTGAAGAAGTTCATGGCAATCACTCATTTTGCCTACTTGGTACTCAAGGTACCCGGCCCTCATGGCCCGATGACTATTTATGGTGACCAAAAGGGTGCCATCACTAGTGACATGAAAACCCTAGACATGATCAGGCATTATGCACAGGCTCTGGTAGACCTAAAGGAACCATCGGCCAAGCTATAAAAGACTACTATGGTGGCAACCACGACTTCGGCTACCCTAAAGCCGAATGATGTGCCAAAAGACCCTGAGTCCTCCAAGGCAGCTGCAACCCGAGCTAAGGCTTCAACACCACCAGCTCAGGAACCAGCAGTCACCACCAGTGAAAGCCACAAAGACGATGAGTTGGCAAAGACTCCTGCTCCTACTCAAGCGAAGGAGACCTAGGATGATGCGTCAACAAAGAAAGCAGTTCTGGATCCTCAGAATCCAACCAAAACAACCAATATCGGGTCAAACATGGACCCCCAATAGGAACTCGAGCTCATTGCTTGTCACACCCGGTTTTAAAAAGAAGACAAAGCACTCATCATATGTGTGCCCAGGAAGTCCACACATACACCACAGAATAGAAAATATTAGAAACAATGTTTATATAAAGCGGAAAACATACTTAAATTAACACTTACAACTATCAGAATTAGAGTACACGAAACGGTTGCTAAACTTCTGCTCAGGCTCCATTGTTCTTAGGGACGATTGACTAGGGCTCTGTACACCAATCACTTCTGACAAACTTTGGAAAAACTCCTCTGCATCTTTGTCCTTCTGAGCAGCACTTTACTACACACTCGGGGTTTAGGGGGAAATAGCAAGGGTAAGTCCATGTCGAACTCAACAAGTACAGGCGGAAAGTATATGACATGCAAGGCTATGACAAAGGTAGGCTGACTTATGTTTACTGCAGATTAGCATTTTAGTTGGCAAAATTTTATTAAAGCAACCTAATAACTAAGGTGAGTGAAAGATCCCAACCATTAATTAATAGAGTGAGTATAACATTGTTATTATCATCTTGTAACCGAGGTAGCAACCTCAACATTAACCACGGGGTAGCAAACCCAATTAAGGCACATGATAGCAATCCAACCAAAACATGAGGTAGCAACCTCCAATGCTTAATCATCTCCATTGTCCAAGTGAGTCATATTCTAATCATGTGAGAGTCTAGGCCGCTCGTGTCTATGAGCACAACTGATATATCTGTTTTAACTTTGTAGAGGTGTACACTTTCACTTCAAGTTATTATTCCCATTTGCCTAGGGTCGCGACTCCCCAAAACACTATCAAGGTGAGCAGGCAGGGTCTCACTACAAGACTTTTCATAGTTCCTAACTAGTAGGTAGCAACTCGCTAAGGATTCCCCAACATAAGGTAAGATCCCTCCTCCAAGTGGTGACTAACAAGAAAACTAAGAAAACTAAA